GGTTAGGTTAAGATAGGTGAGGTTAGGTTAGGTAGGGTTGGTTAGGCTAAGATAGGTGAGGTTAGGTTAGGTAGGGTTGGTTAGGTTAAGATAGGTGAGGTTAGGTTAGGTAGGGTTGGTTAGGTTAAGATAGGTGAGGTTAGGTTAGGTAGGGTTGGTTAGGTTAAGATAGGTGAGGTTAGGTTAGGTAGGGTTGGTTAGGTTAAGATAGGTGAGGTTAGGTTAGGTAGGGTTGGTTAGGTTAAGATAGGTGAGGTTAGGTTAGGTAGGGTTGGTTAGGTTAAGATAGGTGAGGTTAGGTTTGTTTAGGTAGGGTTGGTTAGGTTAAGATAGGTGAGGTTAGGTTAGGTAGGGTTGGATAGGTTAAGATAGGTGAGGTTAGGTTAGGTAGGGTTGGTTAGGTTAAGATAGGTGAGGTTAGGTTAGGTAGGGTTGGTTAGGTTAAGATAGGTGAGGTTAGGTTAGGTAGGGTTGGTTAGGTTAAGATAGGTGAGGTTAGGTTAGGTAGGGTTGGATAGGTTAAGTTAGGTTAGGTAGGGTTGGATAGGTTAGGTTAGGTTAGGTTAAGATAGGTTAGGTTAGGTTAGGTTAGGTAGGGTTGGTTAGGTTAGGTTAGGTTAGGTTAAGATAGGTTAGGTTAGGTTAGGTTAGGTAGGGTTGGATAGGTTAAGTTAGGTTAGGTAGGGTTGGTTAGGTTAGGTTAGGTTAGGTAGGGTTGGTTAGGTTAGGTTAGGTTAGGTAGGGTTGGATAGGTTAAGTTAGGTTAGGTAGGGTTGGATAGGATAGGTTAGGTTAGGCAGGGTTGAATAGGTTAGGTTAGGTTAGGTTAGGTAGGGTTGGTTAGGTTAGGTTAGGTTAGGTTAGGTAGGGTTGGTTAGGTTATCTACGTTAGTTTTAACTCAAACTAAAAGAACTTAACTCATACATAATGATATGGATAGCTTTATCATTTCATAAGAAAAAAAATCGAAAATATATAAATTCTGGAAAACTTTGCTTATTAGGCAAATCGAGTCTTGCATAGTAGGCCGAGTACTGCGTTCTGTCTACTAGGTACAACATATATATATATATATATATATATATATATATATATATATATATATATATATATATATATATATATATATATATATATATGTCGTACCTAGTAGCCAGAACTCTCTTCTCAGCCTACTATGCAAGGCCCGATTTGCCTAATAAGCTAAGTTTTCATGAATTAATTGTTTTTCGACTATCTAACCTACCTAACCTAACCTAACCTAACTTTTTCGGCTACCTAACCCAACCTAACCTATAAAGATAGCTTAGGTTAGGTTAGGTAGGGTTGGTTAGGTTCGGTCATATATCTACGTTAATTTTAACTCCAATAAAAAAAATTGACCTCATACATAATGAAATGGGTAGCTTTATCATTTCATAAGAAAAAAATTAGAGAAAATATATTAATTCAGGAAAACTTGGCTTATTAGGCAAATCGGGCCTTGAATAGTAGGCCGAGAAGTGCGTTCTGGCTACTAGGTACGACATATATATATATATATATATATATATATATATATATATATATATATATATATATATATATATATATATATATATATATATATATATTACACGTATATTTAGACAGGCATAACGACGTCCAGGGGAAGTATATATGAGAAAGATGAAAACGTGTGTGAGAATAGGAATAACTGGGGTCAGTAAGTTTGACTTGCTGCCTCTACAAAGAAGTGTGTACTGACCGGTCAGAGAGTTTGGATTGCTAATTCCAAGTACACATTCTATTCCAAATCATAAACTATGGTGACTCTGGAGTCACTCTCACACAGGGTATAATACGATACTGTAATGTCCCTTCTTTAATTGTCTTAAGTGTTTGTAAAGTTCTCTTTTTTTAGAGCTAACATTGAAGTGCTTATTTTTTCAGATTAATACGTTTAACGGTTCTATTCTTTTCTTTTAATGGTTCTATTCAAACAATATTTATCACAATAAACATATAGTTATTAATGACTTTCCTTCCTCCTCTTAATCTAGTTTGACAGGTGAAAAAATTCACACTGTCCATATCCAAAAATAAACTTAAACAAAACCAAAGTTGTAATTAATACATAATTGAGTATGTACATAGATACAAGTGGATGGGCCATGACGTTCATACATCCTCCACGACTAAGCGATAGCTTCAAGTTAAAATCGACTTGAGAATGGTCCAGGACGGACCGAAACGTCGTCGTCGTCCCTTCACCTTCTAGTGTGTGGTCTGGTCAACATTCTTCAGCCACGTTATTGTGACTTCTCGCCTGCTTCAGGTTCTTCATGGCCTCGAGCAACGCCTCATTTAACCCACAAACACCCATCAAGTTATCGAGAAGATTTATACCGTGGAGAGTCTAGCCATCAAACAGCTCACTGATACAGTGAGTCCAAAAGCTGGTTTCCGGATGACGAGACGCTTGCCAATACCTTTTAGATTCACTCTTAGAGGACATGAGATGAATCCAAGAGCAAGGAGTCGATCCAGATTTCATCTGTAACTCAACCAAGTGTGAAATGGATTCCCACTCGTATATGACTGATCGAGACTGCAGTCCTGCTCTATATATATATACAATCTTGTGGACTACATCACCCTCGGTGAAATCGATGAGATCTTGAGCATAAAAACCCATCCACCTAAACATTACTCACGAAAGGATTACCAAAATCAATTCTAAGGATGCTTTTTACCGTCTCACAAGTTGCATATTACTTCCTAAGGTAGCTCACTTTCTCAGGTGTTCTCTTATTCACAACAGCACCAAAGTGAGTATGACATATGACACTGAAGTCCATGCAAGAAGTTATATCAACCTTCCTTTTGTTGACTTGCAGAGAAAGGAAATAGGCTTTTCCGTCAGACTTAACGGCCTTGGTGCCCACACAGCCTCCCATATTGCTTTGCCAGCCATCTTTCCTTCTCCTTCTCTGAATCTAATGATCTTGTCAAATAAATCCTACTAGGGGATACTAGATCCCGCCTTAACAAAAAGCTTCAATCAGTTGGTTGAACTGATTGAACTGACTGAAAGCTTCAATCAGCTGGTTCCTCTTACAGCCACGGCACCCAGACTCGACCAGGCCAAAAAACATAAAAAACACAGCTAGGATATCCTAGCCACTACTTTTGTGGACAGGAGTGATATCACTCTTGATGGCTATACTCTCCTGAAGCGAGGCGAGGTTCGTGTTCCGTCTAGAGGCATGAGGTACTAAGTGGCAGGTACATTCATACATGCTATGTGTTAGGTAGTTGGTACACATACACATACTATACGTGCTAGGTAGTAAGTACACATGTACGCATTCTTCATACGTATGTAACTGTTACTTAGCACCTCGAGCTTCAAGGCAGAACATGTGTTTCATATAAATATTCTTGGGATGTTAGGGAGTATGTACTTTTGTTGCTAGGCAGCAGGAATATCCCACATACAACTACGCACGATAACACAAACAATTGCAAACGATCAAGAACATACACCACAAGAATACAGGAAACTGGAGTATGTATAACACCCCAAATATGCATATTTCAATATCTATTTGCAAGCCTACAAGATATACACGTGTGTATTACACTCTAGCAAGCTAGCTACAAATGTAACACAACATACAAGGCTGTATTTAGCCCTCACTACAGCAACTAATAAATGCCAGCAGATAGGAAGATAATGATACACACACAAGATACACACTCACAGCACGCAACACTCCACATAAATGATCGTATATGACACAGAGGATCATATATGACCCTAAAGAATCATATCCCTGGAAACACAAACCGAAACTGTCTCTATTTTCCGCTTGTTACAACTTGTAATAATGTTGTTACCTCTTGGCTTAACGTGTTTATGACGTATTAGAACGTTGTTACAACTTGCTATATTGGTTGTTATAACTGGTTAGGAGGTGTTAAAACTTGTTCCAACGTCGTACCAACGTCGTAGTTTCGGTGTGTGTTTGGCGGGATATGACATAAAGGATTGTATTCAGAATCCAATTAAGCATTTCAAAAGGGCTGCTAGATGCTTTTTATTTCAGAATCAGGAAGAATGATTGTCAAAAGTGCCACAAAGTGGGTCTCAATATCCCATCACCCATTATTCTCAATTCCGAAATAATACAATTCAATTTTAATGAAATAAAATGAACATTGTCGTTTATTCATTAACAACTTGCAACATTTATTGGTCAAAAATATTTAAACAATTTAATAAACAATTTAATGGATAAATAAATACTTGTTTACACAACAGCAAGCTCAAAAAGACACAAATCCATACATTTATACTAAGAACTGTGTATACATACTAAGAATTACGTATACATTCTAAGAACTAGGTATACATACTAAGAACGACATAGAATGCGTAATAAGATTTTTTTCACATATATTCATCACTGATAATGTACATTTTGGTTCTATGTATAACAGGCAATTATCTTTATAGGATAGAGTATAGTAAACATAGAGGGCCCACCTACACCCAGCTATTTCAACATAGAAGACCCACCTACACCCAACTATTTCAACATAAACATAAAAGACCCACCTACACCCAGCTATTTCAACATAAACATAAAAGACCCACCTACACCCAGCTATTTGAACATAGAGGACCCGCCTACACCCAGCTATTTCAACATAGAAGACCCACCTACACCCACCTACACCAACATAGAGGACCCACCTACACCAACATACAGGACCCAGCTACACCAACATACAAGACCCACCTACACCCACCTACACCAACATAGAAGACCCACCTACACCCAGCTACACCAACATACAAGACTCACCTACACCCACCTACACCAACATAGAGGACCCACCTACACCCACCTACACCAACATAGAGGACCCACCTACACCCAGCTACACCAACATACAAGACTCACCTACACCCACCTACACCAACATACAAGACCCACCTACACCCACCTACACCAACATACAAGACTCACCTACACCCACCTACACCAACATAGAGGACCCACCTACACCCAGCTACCCCCTAATTAAACAAAGAGCTTTCGGGTAATTAACAGTTTTCAGTGGCAGGAAGGATGTTGTAAAACACAATTTAATACAAATAATAATGTCTCCAGTAGGAAAAATACACATTAGCACTTCGTGATGAAAATTAGCAGAACATAATGTGTTTTTGATGTGATCTTTAAAAGCATGGCAAATGGCAGGATATAAAAAAAACAGGAAAAACGCTATTAATTCGCCACAACTTGAGCACAAGTAACAAAAAATCTGGAAATTTCGGACCTGTTTACGAAAACTCGAGACATTCTGGACCTTTTTAAGAAAAAGGCGGTAAAATCTGGACAATTTTTTTAAAAAGGCGGGAAAATTTGAACATTTAAAAAAAGGCGGGAAAATCTGGACATTTGTATGAAAAAGGCGGGAAAATTTGAACAAATTTTATGAAAAAGGCGGGAAAAAACTTACTGTTTGAGGGCGGGAAGTGCACGCTCGTCGTAGGAGTAATAAGGGGAGGAGTACGTCGAGGGCGGCGAGGTATAGGCAGCTGGCGAGGGCGCTGCTGGGGGCGTAGGCAGGTATGGGCGGCCCGGCGAGGCAGGCGGGCGTGGCGTGTTGGGCTGCAGGTAGGGCGGCCGGAGATCTGGCAGCGGGGCGGAGGGAATCTTGATGGGTGGCGGCGACGGTGACTTGGGCGGCGTGGGCGGCGGCTTGGGCGGCGTGCTGGTGAGTCTGGGCGGTGGGAGGTGAGAACCGGGCGTGGGCGAGGCGTCGCGGGGCTTGGCGGCCCTTGGGCGCGGGGGCGGAGGCAGCTCGCGAGGGCCCTTGGTGTCAGGGTAGTCGTTTTTATCCAGCTTCTGTTGACAATACATAACCCCAGTTACTGTAAATCAAGTATGTATTCATAAATACACGTAAATACACATATATATACATGAGCGTTCATACATTCATACAGGATTTTGGTTGCGATGTGGACCTCGAGGTCCCGCTCGCAGATGATTGGGCGATCGCGACGCGGGAGTTACTTTTATACTTGGAAATTAGCGCCTCCGGCCAGGCGAGGCGGCGACGACAGGCCGCCAGGCGCCAGACTCGTTACTGGTCGACGGTAATACCTCTGGTCGCTGCCTCGCTCAGCTGCGCCCGTCACTCGCGCCTGTCTGGCTATTATTGACGGTCGTCTGGCTTTCCTGTTGCGTCTGTCTGTCTGTCTGACGGCCTGGTCATTGGTTATCTGCCTCGATAGCCGACGGGAATTTTATATACGTGACTGGTTCGTTGCAAATGTCTATCTGTCTGCCTGTTTTTTTCAGTCTGTCGTAACCAGTAACATTTCCGCAGCCGTTTAACGACAGGTCATCAGTCAGAAAGGATTATTACTCCGGATCGTTTTCGCTGATTGGCCACTCGTTATTACGTCACTTGTTTCCAGCTTCCTGATTGGTTTCTTACGTTCGACGTCATGAGGTTCCATATCCACTTCATTGGTCCCTTGTTCTTACGTCACTTGTTTCCAGCTTCCTGATTGGTTTCTTAGGTTTGACGTCATGAGGCGCCATATCCACTTCATTGGTCCATTGTTATTACGTCAGATAAATACATTCAGCTGATTGGCCCAGCGTTACGTCACATACTGGTTGTTTATTGGCTGATGCCTGGTTACGTCAAACGCAGTGATGGGTAATTGATTCCTGATTACTTAAAATTTGTGTTAGATCGTGGGTAATGAGTAACTAATGAGTCAGGGGTTTTGATTCACCTGTTTATCAAATGTTGGTAATGGACGGTGGGTCATTGATGGTAGTGAGTTATGAATAAGTAACTGGTAGCCGCTGAGTCACGGGTGAGTAACTGGTAGCCGCTGAGTCACGGGTGAGTAACTGGTAGCCGCTGAGTCACGGGTGAGTAACTGGTAGCTGCTGAGTCACGGGTGAATAGCTGAAGCTGTTGAGTCACTGGATGAACTATATGGGCACTGAGTCACAGGCGATGAGTAAAAGGTGCGACACGAATGGTGAGTATGGACGATGAGTCACTAGGGGTGAGGGCGGTGAGTCAACAACGAAGATACATAGAAATTTGTTCAATGGTCATGAGTCATTGATAATGACTCATGGGTAAGGAGCATTAGGTAGTGTTGGGTAATGAGTCACAGGATGAGTCTGTGGTAGTTAGCGAAGGGTGGTGAGTCACGATGATGACTCACGGGTGGCTAGACACTGGTGAGTAACAATGGTGACTCATCGATGACTAGACACTGAGTCACAGGCGATGAATCACGAGTAACTAGACCACGGTGAGTCACACGTATAACTGGTGATGAGAAACAACTGAACTGATGAGTATAAATGTTGATGAATGAATAAATAGCGATGAGTAACTGTTCAATAAATGGCGATGAGTAAGTGATGAGATGGCGAGTAACTGTTGGCAATTGATGAACAACTGTTGGTAATTGATGAATAACTAGCGATGAGTAGTCAATGAGGAAAAAATAATGGTGAGTAGCTAATGATGAGTAAATAGTGGTTATCAACTGATGATGAATAACTTGATAATTTATGAATAACTGGTGTTGAGTAATTCATGATGAGCAACTGGTGGAGCGAAACAACTGATGAGTAACTGTCACGAGAAGGGAGCCACAGGTGGGTGCAGACTAACTGGGAATGAGTAAAATGTGGTGAGTCAAGGATTTCAAGTCCCTCTCAGACGGTGAGTCATGAATATCAAGTCCCTCTCTGGAGATGAGTCGTGAATTTCAAGTCCCTCTCAGGCGGTGAGTCAAGAATTTCAAGTCCCTTTCTGGTGGTGAGTCATGAATATCAAGTCCCTCTCAGACGGTGAGTCATGAATTTCAAGTCCCTCTCTGGAGATGAGTCATGGGTTTGGCCCCAGCAACTTTAACCCCCCCCCCCCCCCCGTCCAGCGGGCATCACCCTACAACGACCAACCGACCAACACTCTAACCAGACCAGAGTTATCCATCCTATTCGCCTGAAGAACTGTAAAAATATGATCACAAGGATCGTGTTTGTTCATATATATATCTATGTTATAACATGTCTAAACCAAGCAATAATAATATAATTAAAATGCTAATTAGTTGTTGTAGAAAACATTTGTTCCCGTTAGCTATTGGGGAAAAAATAACATAGTAATGCAATGAGAAGACAATAATGCACAGTAATTTTGCATATATTCAAAGGAAAGTAGAATACCTTTCTAGAGGTCTTAATAACCCTCTAGAGGTTGACAGGCCGTCAGCCAAACACCGAACTCACTAACTTTTTATCTTTCTAAATTATTGTTATTAATTTTAGAATTATATATGAGAACTGGGGCGTGTATATATACGATCGGTCGCCCCTATATCCATCCATACGAGCCGGGACACTCATGTATACATAACATAGGCCGAGATACTCACATATACATACAATTTGAGACCAAGATACCCAATTCTTATAACACCTGAAAGTGACCATTTAAAACAAAACAAAAAAAAATATCAACGTGAAAACTCGCGAAAAGACACAAATACATATTAACTATACATAAACATTCACCAAATTTACTTATATATTTACGACATATAAGAATATATCAACGACAAACACACACACACACACCGTTCTTGACAGCCATGATACCCGAGCAAGCAGGCCAAACACCTGGTCAGGAAGGACCAACATCTTTAGATGACAACTGCTAAAGCTCCATCCCTCTTTAATCCAACACAACACACACACACACACACGGTCAAGCACTAGGACAAACAACACCCCCCTCTCGGCCAGCCAGCCACCTGTAGACCGCAATAATCCCCCACTAACCACTACCTATCCCGCGCCCTTGCTCTTCATATCCCTGGATAAACAGCATCACCCGCCTCGACATCCACACACACGGACCAAAACAACACCTGTGTTCGATATGATAAACATTTGAATAATTCCACGAGTACGTACCCCTTTCCTCTCCAATAAGTCGTCGATTTCCAGCGCTTTGTAGACTTGTTCTCGGTACTCCTCCGCCAGCTCTTTCTTCACCTTGGCTCGGTCGTAGTTCTCGGTGTCCACTGCGTGTCTCTTCTCGATCTCGTACTTGCCCAGCCGCTCTCCGGCGGTGCGGAGCTGACTCACTGCCGCCTTGAGTTTATTGGCGTACTCCAGCCGCTTCTCTGGGCGGGGCCACGGGGAGAAAACGCACGCATCACAGAAAATGGGTTTAAGAGAAACTGGCGTCAAAGAAAATGGGCATAAAAATACACAATAGGAATGTTTACACACACACAATATATATATATATATATATATATATATATATATATATATATATATATATATATATATATATATATATATATATATAAAGCAAGTTGAAAAAATAACTAATAACTCCCAAAGTCAATTTTACAATTTTGTTATGGACTGAAATGTGTTTTTTTGATTCAAGTGAACATTGTCAAAAGCAGAGACTGAATGGTTAGAAGTTGTTGTTGTTCTAGATTCAGCTACTGGGAACAAAAAGTTCCCGAAACTATCTCATTTAACCTTTAAGGTAAGCACGGGCTAGGGTGAGCCCGTAATGGACTTTACCTGGCACCGGAGCGGGGCTGTGACTGGTTGGTTAGAAGTGATTGATTGATGAAGATTAAGCCACCCAAGAGGTGGCACGGGCATGAATAGCCCGTAAGTGGTAGATGTTTTGGAGTGAATACGATCTTTGGTCGTGAAAGGATCTACTGTGTGCTGAGCTCGCATTTATATCGTCAGTCATTACTATGTGGCTGCTATCGCGGGAGAGGATACTACTTGACATTATGTATGAGGGTGTATACATACTGTCAAGCTGTCTACATACTGTTAATACATACAGTGTGTATGTATTGGCAGAAGATGCATTCTCTCTGTCGGGGTTCACCAATCTCCCAGTTGCATCTGTAACCTAGACGTAGTCTATATAACCGAACTGCTTTTTTCCTGTGGATTCCTTTTGGGATATTTAACCTGTCTAACTTGGTGGCCTGAAGATACCATATTGCAGAGTGCGAACCTTCAGCTACTCTCTGGTGTAGATGGGCTTTGTTGAGGCGTGAGAGTTGTTTGGTAATGATATTTTTAAAGTACTCTAGGCTGGGTTGAATTGTTTTGTGGATTACTGCATGACAAGTTGCCAATTTAGCAGTTTCATCAGCATTCTCATAATGGGATCCCAACATGGGATGGGATCCATTTTAAGGTTATGTTGAGTCCTTTGCCTTTAGCGACTGCTCCAAGATACAAATTTGTGGTAATTATTTCCACGTTATCTTTCCACTGCTTTTTTCCAAATAATTAAAGTGCAGCTTTTGAGTCTGTGTGTATGATTGTATTTTGAGTGTTTTGTGCAATCACATATGCGAATGCCTGTTGTATGGCAAACAGCTCAGTTAGAGTTGATGATACTGGTCGACCCAGTCTCCAATATGCCTGTTCGCTGGCCGTGCAAAGAGCAGCGCCAGCACTCTCATATTCTGTGTCCACCGATTGGTTAGAAGTTTGGTGCTGCCGTATATATAGTTGGGGATGGGGTGAAAGTGAGGCATCACACTCATGAGACCAACAGGCCCATTGCTGCCTATCCATCTACCATGATGGGAGGTAGACACCCTCCCTATGACACAGCACACGACAATCATCCTGATGAATCATCTTCTCTGAGTGCTCCAGTCATCGATAGACTGGTGCTCCAGTTATAAGCTTCCTCAACAAGGGGCAGGTGCTACTTCCCCCTCACCCCCCCCCCCCACCTAATCTTAACCCCTTCTTCCCCCTGATCGATAACCTGTGCCCCCCCCCCCACTCCTCCTCCTCCTGATGAATAGGTAAATATTGCAGCCCCGCGCGCCTTCTCCTTGCCTGCATGTTGCCCTTATCAGCTGACTTGGCCATGCATGCAAGATACTGTTGTCTACATAACGAGAGTAGCATATATATATATATATATATATATATTGCTCAATCGATAATCAGAGACCAATGTTGACTGTTTTCTTCCCTGCAGTCACACCTCGAGCACTAACTACAGTAAATGAGGACCAGGTGATAACACTGCAGCTTGCGTGCAGTTTGTTGCTCACTCATCATGAGTAACATTGAAATTGAAGAGCAACAGTACACATTGTCTTCCACCTGGCCCCTGGGAGCACCACCTGCCCCCTGGGAGTGCCACCTGGCCCCTTGGAGCGCCACCTGGCCCCTGGGAGCACCACCTGCCCCCTGGGAGTGCCACCTGGCCCCTGGGAGTGCCACCTGCCCCCTGGGAGCGCCACCTGGCCCCTGGGAGCGCCACCTGCCAACCTGGGAGCGCCACCTGGCCCCTGGGAGCGCCACCTGGCCCCTGGGAGAGCCACCTGGCCCCTGGGAGCAGCGGGCGTAGTAGCGTGAGACGTCTTCCTCAGAGTAGTGATTTCTCACGCCGCTTTACACACACCTTCATTTTTCACTTTATATTACAACTTTTTTGCCTAATATATATTTTTTTTGGGGGGAGGAGGATAAATTACAGTTGTATATTTTTTTGTAAACTGTATAAATGTTTGCTATATTTCAAATAATAATTAATATCTGATGTGAACAGCTATCCCACACATCTTTAAATATGCGAACTGATGACGTTTCGGTCCGTCCTGGATCCTAAAGTGACAACGTTTCGGTCCGTCCTGGACCCTAAAGTGACGACGTTTCGGTCCGTCCTGGACCCTAAAGTGACGACGTTTCGGTCCGTCCTGGACCCTAAAGTGACGACGTTTCGGTCCGTCCTAGACCCTAAAGTGACGACGTTTCGGTCCGTCCTAGACCCTAAAGTGACGACGTTTCGGTCCGTCCTGGACCCTAAAGTGACGACGTTTCGGTCCGTCCTGGACCCTAAAGTGACGACGTTTCGGTCCGTCCTGGACCCTAAAGTGACGACGTTTCGGTCCGTCCTGGACCCTAAAGTGACGACGTTTCGGTCCGTCCTGGACCCTAAAGTGACGACGTTTCGGTCTACCCTGGACCCTTAACCAGCCGTACAGCCAGTACACAACTGAATAATGTCATTTCAAAAATATGAAATGTATCAAACCCAACTTTTTGGTGTCTTGCTAACATGTTTACCTGTTGACGATTTCGAGAGTTGTTCTGCAGCCTAGGGGCCAGGCTTGCCTGGTGAGGTAGTGTGTCTGTGTTGCCAGAAGGCCCACATGGCCATCACAGCCTGGCTGATCTAGTAACCCCAGCCGAAACTTATCCAGCTCTCTCTCTCTCTCTCTCTTGAAGGTTTTCTCTCCTGTACCTGAGACATCATCTATGTCTTGGCGGGAGACTGAAGAGCTGTCGGCTTCTGATGTTTTTATGGAACCCCGATGTTGTATTAAAATATATTTTTACACTTGCTAATCACTTGGAGTGGACGGTAGAACGGCGGCTACACTTCTTGCAGGTTGGCGTTCAATTCCTCAAGTGGTATTGCCCCATTTCTTTACCCTCTGTCCAATTCCCAGATCCTTGGGCTGGTATTTTCTCATTTCCTAAGCCAATATAGTCATATTGGCTTAGCTCTTTCGCCTCATAATTACCTTACCTTCACAAAAACTTGGCTATTAGGGGGTCACAATAAGGAAACAACCTCATATATACCGTTCAGAGTTACTTATCCCTCCCCCGGACCAACTAACCACAGGTCCGGGGCAGCACTTTAGGAAATATGTAAACATTCGAAAAATGGATTTTAATTAAAACTTTCCATGGGGATGTCATTCTAAACTGGGACAATGTGAACACACTCAGTTGGCATGAATGTGGTGGGTGTTGCAGGTTTGGTGCAGTTAGGAATATAAAAACATAAGAATGAAGGTAACTGCAGGAGGCCTATTGGCCTATACGAGGCAGCGTCTATTTATAATTATTTGTAGTTCCGTATGTACAGTGTTGCAGAGGGTAGTTAGGTTACAGGTCACGGGAGGCTGAAAATTAGACACCTAAGTCACATGGAAGGAAGGAGGAAGTGTCGTCGACGTTTCGGTCCGTCCAAGACCCTAAATTGGGGCATATCTGTCTGTCTCTCTGTTTCTCTGTATCTCTGTCTGTCTGTCTGTCTGTCTCTCTCTCTCTCTCTCTCTCTCTCTCTCTCTCTCTCTCTCTCTCTCTCTCTCTCGTGTCTCTGTCTCTCTCTCTCTGTGTCTCTGTCTCTGTCTCTGTATGTCTGTCTGTCTGTCTCTCTCTCTCTCTCTCTCTCTCTCTCTCTCTCTGTCTCTCTGTCTCTCTCTCTCTCTCTGTCTGACAGTCTCTCACCTCTGACAGCAGCGGCCCGGCGGTCCTCGAGGGTCCTGATGGTGGCGGCCACTTGGGTGTCCACATACATGGCGAAGGCAAGGTCGTGGTAGAGGGGCACGGCCTGGGGGTCGCCGCCGGGCACCTGGCCCCCCTCCCCGTCTGGGGACACGCTGTTGTTGTTCGTCTCCAGCTCGTTCCCCAGCAGGTTAATGGCCACCAGCCCCACCTGTGGACACGGGGCAGGTGTTACTGCAGGTGTTATTATAGGTGTTGCTGCAGGTGTTATTATAGGTGTTGCTGCAGGTGTTATTATAGGTGTTGCTGCAGGTGTTATTATAGGTGTTGCTGCAGGTGTTATTATAGGTGTTGCTGCAGGTGTTATTATAGGTGTTGCTGCAGGTGTTATTATAGGTGTTGCTGCTGGTGTTATTATAGGTGTTACTGCTGGTGTTATTATAGGTGTTGCTGCTGGTGTTATTATAGGTGTTGCTGCTGGTGTTATTATAGGTGTTGCTACAGGTGTTGCTATAGGTGTTATTATAGGTGTTATTATAGGTGTTACTACAGGTGTTACTACTGGTGTTACTACAGGTGTTATTACTGGTGTTATTATAGGTGTTGCTGCAGGTGTTACTATAGGTGTTGCTACTGGTGTTACTACAGGTGTTACTACTGGTGTTACTACTGGTGTTTCTACAGGTGTTACCACAGGTGTTACTACAGATGTTACTAAATCTGTGCAACATTTTAGCGACCATTCATTAACACTAATTACCAT